AACCTAAACCATTCTATGATTCTATGAATGTTTGCTTTTTGCTGAAACATGATTAAATGGGCGAAGTGAGTACATTTACCTTTGCAAAAAGGAGGGAAACTTGATCACTAGTGGATTCCAAACTCCTCTGAGGTAAACTCATTCACTGGAAATATTTTATAGTCATAAAGAAAAACAAAGGTAAAACCATCCTGAGAAATTCACTGGCTTTTGAAGTTATGCCATTATACTTTTAAGAAACTGTACTTACAAGTACAAAAATTAGCCTTACATTTCAGTTTTGCATGGTCTGTTTTATTTTCCTAAGTTCATAAAAGGACTTAATTCTCCAAGGACCGCCTGAACATACCAGAATAAATAATGTGGCTTCTAAAAGCTAGAAAATGTTTTGAGTTTCTTAAAAAATATCTTTAAGCCAATATAGAACTATCTTCTGTGCTTCAGATCTGTTCTGCAGAAAAATTGCTGTAAAGACTTGGATGTGATACATAGAAAGAGCAATATTGAAAACCATGGAGAACCCAGAGAATCCATTTTAAAATGGATTACTGAATCCATTAGAATGGAGTACCAAAGTGCAAGGCAAATTTTCTGCCTCTAACTTTTCCAGTCCTCAAAGTTAATGAACCATTAGTAGCAAATGAAGAAAGCGCCACAGAATATCAGCTTATGCTGCCACGCAAAACCATCACAACTTCTGTTTTCTCATTGAAGGAAAAATTGACTTACTTTTAATTTGTGCCCAAACAGCACAGGACTGTGTTCTCACCTGAAAATTAAAACATAAAAAATCACTGTTTCTCATGAGAGAAATTTATTATCACTAACATCCTCTGCAAGAGCAGCCATCCATAACATACAGTATTTTATTACTACTGAGAGTAGAGTTTTTTTATTCCCCTGGTAGCAGCCTCTAGCTTCTCTGAAAAGATTATAAAGATAAGATTAGAGATACAGCTTTGAAGAAAGGCTGGCACTTGTCTTTTAGATCATCACTCTTCCCTTCTTTTGACAACCTAGGCACACAAGTGACATGGCAGGATCTTTGAAGCGGCTTGGATAAGAATTCAGAATTTATGAAATGCAAAGATAAGGCTGAATATTTTGTATTAGCTCTATTCCCATGTAGAATGTATGTGTTAAAATATGGTTCTTAATGGCAAGTTTTTCAAATACTTTCAAATACTAGGTTGAGGTTTTTTTTCCAGTTATGATAACTTGCTTGGTAATTTTTAACTACCCTAGGTGTTCTACAGAAATTGTTAATGTTCACAGCAGCTGAATAAATATTTATCACAGATCTGCTTTTGCAGACTTGTTTAACAAGTTTGGGTCTTTTACAGTAAGCTTTAGTCCCTGTAGAGCTTTCTTCCCCCAGCACTTCACACTCATACCTACACAAGAACTTCTAATCTAAGTTCTATTGTCTATTGTATAGTTACTGTGAAGACTATTTTTGTAGTGCTTCTATACATACTTTCCTACTAAATTACTTTCACAGAATACACATACGTATATTTTTAATGTTTCGGCAAAATGTGTATTACGTTGCTCTGGATATGTTTCTATGAAATTGAAGACTGTATTTTGAAGCATTTGCACAAAATGACACAGGCACATTTGGATGCTTCATCTTGCTTTTGTGTGTCTGCATGTTGAACTGTGGAATCACAGTGCTTCTTAAACTCATAAGGCATTTCCTGGTCATTTAAAAAGACAAAACACTGACGAAGAAAATCTTCTTAGGAGAGGAAAAACAAAGAACAAGTGGTGGACTTAAAAACTCAACCAAATGCCACATTCTGGAGGCACTGGTGTGAATGCCATCATCTTGAAATAGCTACCTCCATAACACACTCTGGTTCACAGGAAATCAGAGAAGTTATAGAGCTCCCAGGAATCTCAGCAGCAAAGTTCACCGATCTGCACTTTAGACTAAATCAAACTATCAATCCCTCCCTCTGATAAATAAGCACCTTGCAGGAAGTTATCAGTGAAATTACTCCTCCAAATACTTGAGTATCCCTGGATCTCAAACTCTGTATTTTAACGTGGATATTCACAGGTAGCTAAACTGGAAATAGAAACGCCTTACACAGCTGCACACTTCAAGAGTTCTGGAGAAAACAGAAAACATTTTGCCATGCATATGCACTCTTCTCAGATGGTTTTGTATTAGGCTAATTTTAACAGAATTTTCTCACAGCAGGGGTCATTTTGATTCCACTTTTCCAAAAGGCTTGTAGCTTTTTTCCTGAAAATACTGTCTGTCTTCACCTTTCACAGTCCTGCTCTTCCTTCGGTTACATGCACAATGTTTTATCCAAAAAAGCTGATGCTGAAAATGAACAAAAGCTATGCTAAAGAAATTAATCTCAAATAAGTTTAAACTCCAACCACCTCTTTTGGTTTTTGCCCTTCACTATGAGCCTTGGCTCTCTGTGCAGCATGGAATCCATAAAGTAATCACTGGAGATTAAAATAGGTACCAGATGGGTTTGAGTTACTTTATTAGCAGTATCCCTCATGGAGAAGGACACTTCCAAGTGTTTCAAAGACAATTTGTTCCACTTAAGTAAGTTTTTTCATGATAGTGAGAGTAAATTCTTGTTTGTTCCCAAGTCCTCCCTTGGTCTTCATCATTCCTATATTCAAACTGCCAAATTCATCACTTTGAGAAATGGTAATTTTCATTACCTCTGACTTTCTAACTACTTTCCTTGTACATCCCTGACGATCTCCTCAGATCATCTGACCAGCCTTTTAACACATGTGAATGTCCAGCACAAACAAAATATATATTTTAAATCCTCCATCTTGAAAGATAAACAGAAAGTAAAAACTGCACAGCAGACACCTTTCCCAGGACTTCCAAATCTGAGCAAGGGATAAATGAACATGGACTCAATAAAATGGAGCGCCTTACTTGTCTTAACTGTGTCCACACAACTTTATCTGACCTGACCTTCCCACCCTTACCACAAAGAAAATAGCTCAGGTATATTGAGCAATAATGGCAGTAAGAAGTCACAACCAAGCCACGATTTTGCAGCATGTATGATACAAATTGTACCATTCTCAGCATGAAGGGGTCTGGATCCAGAAAAGACTCTGGAGGATGCCAGAACATAAAAGTAAAAAAATGAGAACATTAGTTTAAGAATATATCATACAGTTTGTTGTTCAAATTCCAGGATACTTTGGGCTAACAACATTATGAACTGAATGGCTTCAAATGACATTTTGCAACTTATTCCTTCACACAATTAATTAAAGATTTATGACAAACAACAGACTTGTATCAGGATCAGAAATCACCTTATCTGTGCTATAAAAACTTCTTAGACTATTGTTAAAATAGATAACACACAAACACATGCTGCACAGATTAGCAGAAACCAGTAACCGCTATCACATGTACTGGATATATTTTACTCCCTTTGGACGAAGGCAAAGTCATATTTTTTACTAGAAGTTGCTTTTTCTTACTGAGATTTGGGTCTAGGCTTCCAAAACTGTAGCGAATTGTTTACAAGTGACTCACAGATGAGTTTTTGCATGCCTCCTTCCTTCATGCTATAAAAAAAATAAAATAGAGTTTTTGTATGAGTGGCAGGGTGAGGCACTACTTAGGTACTTCTTAGTTTAGTAAAGGTTGCTTTGTTCTCTTTTTACACTTGACATTCAGGAAGGGTATGCACACGAAAAGTCTATCAGCTGGCCCATGTGAGACCTTCCTGTTGCTGAGACCTGTTTTATGAAAAAATTACAAGCTGTTGACCCCTGTGATAGATAACAATGGGAACACTAGTGTCATAATGACACCATGGGAGGCAAGACACTGGAGCACTAAACAGCTGACATGTACATTTTAGAAACTTTTTGTTTCTAATTAAAATACACGTTTACTTTAAGATGACAAAAAAAATAATGCTACTAATATACTTTTTTCCACAAGGCTTCCTGAAGGGAGCTGGAGTTAACATTCATTGCTACTTGGAAGGTAATAAACACAACAAAATAATTTTTTCCTTGTCATTTGGAGAACTGGAATGCTTTCCTAGAAAACATTAAGTTTAAGAAATGGGTGATTTTTTTCATTGCTAAGGAGTAATTTTCAGATTCTCATACTAATCTCTTTCACTAAATTCTGGCCCCATAAAGACACCTTCAAGTACTGAGTGCAGAGACAGATCTTAATTTTTAGTTTTTTCCATTGTTTGCCTTTTGGCATTCAGAGCTGCTCCAGCATTACAATTATATAAATATTTGTAAGGAATTACAAGAGTCATATAAAGAGCTTCAGATTTAATCTAATTCTGTCAACCAACGGATCCTTGCAACATCATAAAAGATTTAACGAAAAGCTAACACTTTTTTTTCCCCAACAAGATTTCATTCAACGGGTGTAAAGAAAATGTTTTAAAACATCCATTACCTTATTCCACTCACTTATTATTCTCAAAAAAACACAATACTCTTCTCCCAGCTTTAAAGGAGCGTTATAAAACTTCCCGTAGTAATGTCTGTCTCCAAGAGCAATTGACATGTTATCAGCAACATCCTTCGCCCGAAATTCAGCTGCCACATATCCTTTAACGTCACTGGTGTTATTAAAGAAAGTTGCAGTAGCAAAGGAGTCACAAATAAAAGTGCTTTGCAAAGCCAGAGGAAGCACAATCACTTGATAAAGACTAGAGTGAAACAAAAAAAAAAGCAAACATTAGCCCTCACTTCAATTTACTAAGCATCAGACATTAATTAATTCACATTGTCTCTTCTGCTTGTAGCCTCTCAACTGCTTTTTATTATCAATGTCCAAAACAAATTCTTATACTAAAATATTTCTCTGTATGTTCCACTGCGTTTTGAACCAAAAGCACTGCATACACAGCTTAGAGGTGGTTCTCCTCATCACATGCTCATTAACTTAACATTCATTCACGTGAAGAGCATCAAATTGAGTTATTGCAGGCTCTCTCTGCTCCTCTCATCATTGGCCTCTAAAAATAATTCATAATTTCCCAGAACAAGACTTTTTCTGTTAAAAGAAGGAGAGGACAGATACCATTTGTAAAAAATTAATCAAATCTGTCTTTAGACCTCTCAAAACAACGTTTAATCTATGGTAACCATCCACACTAAGAGTAGTTATTATGGCTGTTAACACTAGTCATTTCCTGAAACATTATTAGCTTTCAAATATTTTCTGCTTTAGGGTAACATTGAGTTAGAATTACTTTTTCCTGGTATCACAAACAATGCTTAGTAAGGTGTAAATTCTTTTTCTCTAGAAATATATTTTTATACATACACTAATACATGCACTAATACGAAAACACTACTTCAGAATATGCATAAATACAGACATTCTTCACCACTTCCTCTGGCCACTAAAAAAAAAAAAATGTACTAGCTGCATGAGTCTGTTGGGGAAAAAAAAATTACACTAGTAGAGCTGTGCTTGGATCCATCAATAAAAATCTACTGTGACTTCACTATGGATAAAGGAAAAAAAAAACCCCACACAAAATCAACAGTGAAAACTCATAATTATCAAAACCAGAATTCTGTTCCAGAAAGCAGGGAAGAGTGTGAAGCCAAATATTACTTTGCCAAGGGAGGAGAAACTGGGAGTTACAGCTTTCTCACATTTTTCTCCCAACAAAAATAATCTAACCCTCACAAAAAGTTCTAATATGTAAGTAACATAAATCTGCAAAATGTTTTTTAAAAGTGTGAAGAGTGCACAGAGACAAACCTGATCGGTCCATTTCGATCTTCCGCTTTCCGGAGTCTGAGCAAGGGTGCAGAACCTTTTACTGCAACAAATTCAATATCTGGGAAAGGGGGATCTAAAAAGTAAACAAATACCAGTGCTTCAGAGAGGTTTTAGAAGTATTTCAGGCATGAGGGTTCCTAGCTATTTTTCCCCACAACTTCCTCTGCTAACAGAGCCTCAAACCCCTGATGGCTAAAGTCTGCAGGCAACATAAACAGTGTGGTCAAGAAGAAGACAGAGTAAATATGAGCATGATGGCATGGCAGCCCCAACTCAGATTGCTGTATTGAAGTATATCTGCTAGCTGGGAAAAACAGAGATGTCCAAAAATGACAGTAGATTACAGAGAAATAAGACAGGAAAGATTTGTTGAAAGAAGCAGTATTATTTATTAAGACTAACTGAAATGGTCAAGGAGAAGAAAAATATGAAACTCCAGGCACACGGCCCACTAATAAAACATTATGACTACAAGAGCATCTATTAGCACCAGAAGAACTTCCAAGAAGGTAACTTCCTTAGTTACTGCTCACAGTCAGCTAGCAATACTCAGCCCCTTAAATTGGATCTCAATATGAGTATAGAGCTTCAATTTGTTTTACTGGGAATTTGCATCAAGGCCAAAACTGAACAAACATTTCTGCCTCTTATTTCAATGGCAATGAAGACAGCTGCACACTGACAGAGACTGGTGCTATGGTAATGGAAATTATCCTTATCAGCCTGAAAGCAAAAATGGAAAGAGCTTCAGTGTGTACAACCAAGGGGGCAGAGTGGGGGCATGGATATTATCGACCCCAGAAGTCCAAAACAACTAGCAGATATATTTATAGGTATGGCTAGCCTGTTTGAAAATGGGTCTACCAAGCTGATAATGTGGTATTTGACTAAATAGTAACAAATGCAGTGCTCACATGCAGAAAATCAAGGCTTCAGAGCACCATTAGAAAGAATAATCAATGTCATGGAGACAAACAAAAGAAAACCAATGCATATTTATCAAAGTTAAGTCACATCAAGCAAAATCTTACTAAGATGCACAAATTTTTCGAACAGGTGGACTATGGATAGCTGCACGTGATACTGAAACATAGAAAATCATTAGTTCAGCAAAAAAAGAAAATGAGGCCTGGCAGAAAAACTGTACAGTGGGTAAATAACCATAAATAGGGAACTAGCAAAATACAGCATGCTGGAAGCAGAAGTACTGAGGTGCAGAAAGGTTATTACAGGAGTTCCTCCAAGACTCAACAAAGTACTAAATCCAGCATTTTTTAACAGTAGTGGTGCATGGTCGATGATCTTTAAGGCCCTTTCCAACCCAAACCATTCTATGATTCTATGAAATATACCAGTATAAAGTACAAGTTGATGCACTTGGGGCTACTAAGAAGAATTTTTTGCCATATATTCTAAGTTCCTTTGAGTAGGAGGAAGACTATATTAGTACACCTCAGAAGGAGTGTTAGTCACCAAAATTATAACAGGATAAAAAAAGAAAAAGGCTGCTCTAACAAGCATAAGAAGCAGATTTCTTTAACACTGAAATAGTACCACCAGAGGTAGAGAAGGACCAGGTGTGATCTTTTCAGTGTCTGAAGTTCCAACCATCAGTCCAAGAGAGCTAAGTGAAACCAGTGCAGAGGACAAACACAAAAAAGATCCAAATAACGCAGAAATTGTCTTCTATGAGAGAACCAAAAAATTTGTCTTTGTAGCCTATGAAAAAGAAATTTGAAAGCCTACATGATCTCTGCTTTAAACAGCTGAAACATGGGAAAGGAACAACTTAAACACAGTATGCCCAAAACAAAGACAACAGGATATAACAGGCACCCCTAGCAAGAAAAACCCTACCTTGGCAGAAAACATCCTCAAGAGAACCTCCTGAAAGCTTACCTAGCCAAACTAATTGCTCTGGTAGTTCCCTTTACCAGGTCCTCTTCAAAACCATGCTATGGGTGAACTACCAGTGAAGAAACCAGCTACGAATGTTTAGGATTGAAATGAGAATAAGATTTATATCTGTCAAAGCCTTAGCATTCTACAGTGGTTTCCCCCTAGCAGAGACAGGTCAGAAAACCCTTTCAGATAGTTTTCTGATTTAATGAAGCATACTGCATGGCTGCCTGCAAGAACAGGAAATCGTCTTTACTTTGGAGGGTCTTTTCCATACTTCTGCAAACGCAGATATTGCGAAATGTATAGACAGTATTTCTGTCTGAACAAAATAAATGAATAAATAATATTTGACAGTCAACCTTTATGTCCTCTGCACCTTACAAACCGAAACAAACAGAGCTTAGGAGCTGCAAACCCTCCCTTAACTTCAATGGTTCCTCAGCACAGACATTGCAGTGGACAGACTAACAGGAAAATTTATCTGTCAGAGTAGATTCATCTGGTACATTTCTCCTATCTTTCTTTCCTTTGACCTCCAATACCACGAGGAGATACTATTAATAATTTCTCTTGAGAATTTTCCAATTTCCAAGATAATCTTGGGAATGTCTTCTTTAATCCCCGCCAGAAAGTGCATTGCATGCAACAGCTTTGCATCTTTTTTTCCAGATAAACAGTGCAAGAGGGAAACAGGGGACAAAAAGACTATTCAGTTCCTAAAAATTAATTTATTTTCTGTAATTTGACAGGAAAATTGCAAAACATGAAAACAAACAGCCATCCAGCACTGACAGCCTTAGTAAGTGGGCAAAAGACAGCAAAATCTGAAAAAACCCACTGGGCTTTTAAAGCTTGAAGTCTTTTGATATTGCTAGCTGCTGGTAAGAAATACTAATTACTACAAACATCAAGCACATCTAAGACAATGTGCCTTTTTTAATAAGAAAAGCTAACAACGTACAACGTGAAGCAATAATAATACCACTACTAATAAATGAAATGAATTAATATCATTTTTCCTTCAGTGACCAGAAAGGAAACTCTGAAGGAGTTATTCCATACGCAGCATTTGGCCACTACAAATTTTTAATAAAAGAAGCACCTTTCCAGCCTGCCCAGCCCTCCTTATGGCTTCCCTTCACCATTTTGTGCTAATGATAAAGCTTTAAAAATAGTAACAGAACTGAACCACAAAGTTCAAAACCAGATGACAACTCTTCCCAAGTTCAGGGAAGGCAAATCAAAGATTCCTCTCAAACCAAGTTCTAACTGAAACAGCTCTTTGCTGAAATAACACCATTTGCACTATCATAATTGCCTGCAAAAAAGTTTGGGTTTTTTTAGTGTTCATTTGAGGGCTTTATGTACAAAAAGTTTTTTACTGAATATCAAAACAAGGAAGTCGGAAACACTGTTGTAAAATTTAAAAAAAAAAATAAAAGGTTGAGATATCGATAAAATAGAAAAGGGTTTTTACCATTTGTTTTGCTGTTTGAAGAGTAATTAAGTTTACTGTACATATTACAGTATAATTGCTTTAACAAAGTGAGAAGAGGCTTTTAATGTGGAGAAGGACATTGCTAAAAGAAGGAAGAGAAGGAAGGAGGTTGAATAAAGTGAGACCACATCTACAGAAATTTATCATTTAAATTTTCTTTAAAGATTGTAGCTTAAAAATGGAAATACTAGCACATGACCTTTTCATGTATAAACTCATAGCTGAAAAGAGCTTACAATCGATCTTCCTTCCCATTGCAGGCTATTCTTGTATTGTTTTTTCCATTTTGCACTTCATTCATTTTACTTAATGCTAATTATGCTAACTAGTTGAGGACAACATAAAGGTTGATGCAGATACATCACTACAAATTTGTAAAGGACCACGTGAAACAATACTAAAGAACCTCCAGTTCACACAGATGGAAAAGACTAAAAAAACAAAGAATTTTGTTCAGCATGTAAAGCACTGGCTATAAAGCATAGACTGTGCCAGCTATTATCAAGTGCTTTGTAAACAGAATTATAAAGGTGATCAGAACAGTCATGACTTTATAAACATTTATGAGAAAATTCTTGCTATGAAGGAGGTCAGAAAAATAACAGAGAAGTGGAGATCATATGAACATATAATACATATAATGCATTTGAACAGTTTCTGCATGACAAGCCAAAGTGCATGCATGAACATACATATGAAAGTGTTCACAGGACTGGCAGCTGATTTCCTCCGTACATTAAAAAAAAAAATAAAATTAATGCTCAGGTTTTAACCACTCCTCTTTCCCCATTACATAAATCAGAAACTCCCTTCTTTGCAATATTCATGCTCTTAAGCTCCATAATGTAATGGACTGTCCCTGTTAGAGAAAGAGTTGCCAGATCACCACATATTCAACAGTTTTTCACTTCCTCACTGAAGTCCCTTTATGCAAGAATGAGTGTAAATCTTTTCCATCATACAACAGAACAGAATAATGTATATTTTAGGTGTGCGTGTACAGGCAAACAAATTAGACATCACAACCTGATCTGTAATGTAGTACATTTTTCACATACTGAGACAAAAGTCCAGGGTTCTAGAAGATTACACTTAGTATGTGATGGAATTCATTCTTCTAATTCAGGTCACTTTCTAGACTCCTTGCTTGTGAGTTGACTTTCTGACATGTATTCATATGAAGAAGAGAGATGATACACACATAAAAGTATGTGGCCTGCAGGTGTATCCTGGACTGAAACAAAAAGAATAGCAGCTGAGAAACACAGAAACGACTACAACTGTCTGAGGTATACAGGCTCAAGGTCAAACCTATGCAAACCCACTGGAAAGTGCATGTACAAACATGTAAGAAATTGCAGGATGTGTGAATAGTAAGCATAGAACAAACTCAAAATATACCTTGAATCTGAGCAAAAAAAAATTGAGGAGGAGTAATGAGAAATCATAATTTAATCTACTATGAATTATTTTACAAGAAGGAAATATAACCCAGTAATTCAGGCACAAAAGATATACTTCTAATAAGACAGAAAATTTTCTGGACACAAGCATGATGTGAGGTCACAGTGATCTGCTGAAACTAAGCTAGCAAGACACTGTAAATAAGCAGGCATTCGTGACCTTCCCAAAGACCACAACTTCGTCACATCCATCAAAGAATCTACCCCAAAGCAAAGCTTTCAAACATATTCAAATATCAACAGTATTTTAATGCAACTCAACTGAAAAAGTTACTCGTACTTAGGATATTAGACACAAAAGCAAAAGCACTAGCTCTTTCTCTATTACTCTGTTTTTCAAACAGTTGAAAGCGGTCAGCATTTCAGTCTTCCTAAATTCATATGTGAAAACAGATAACAAAATTATAAACAACGTCTTGTCTGAGCATGCCTTAATAAATGACCTTCGAAAAGGAACAGAGCCAGGTGCAATTAGTACAATCCCAACAGACATAAAGAATGAGAAAGTATACCCACAAGACACTCCTTTCCTTTCTTGGCAAGAAACTCTCTTCTTACTTGACACTCTTGCTACCATCTTTTTATACAATATAATCACTGCCTAATCATTTTTCATGATTGACTCAATTTCTGATCTCAAGTAGACAAGTGGTAAGAGCTTGTCTAAAATAAGCTAAGATGATATAAAAGACTGTGCAAGATGCCTGTTACTGGAAGTATGAAAGGAGCAGAATTTCAATGATCCATGAAGCATTTGCTAGACTATATTTACCATCCACAAGACAATGGGCAAAACCAACTTTGTGCTCAGCACAGAACTATTTTTAAAGGATGCTACTTGCCAGGGAGAAAAGCAAGCTTCTAAGTCCCAAGTTTTTGGTTTTGTTTTGTTTTTTTCTTTAGAAATATTATGGATATAATATATCCTCATTCAGGAGATACAGAAGATATACATACAGATATAGATATTCTGGATATATAAGTAGCTTGCTTAACATGCTTTTACAATTTTTCCTTTTTGAAAAAAGACCCAAACTTATCGCTAGCACTCACATGCCTATTGTATTCTGCAAGAGTCTTTAAGAATTTACACTGACTACCTTGTGAGGAGATTGAATCTGTTAGGCAGTGCTCATCCAACCATCTGGGGCATGTCTCTTCACAGTATTTCAAAATTTGCAGTTGTGCATTTGCTGAGGACACCATGTGAAACCTTGGACAACAAATGAGGCCACCTCCAGTACATTTAACAGAAGAACACTTTTGTAAGTGTCAGCTTCCTTAGAGCCTCTGAGCTTGAGGCATATCTTGCATTTATACAGTAGCATTTAGCCAGAAAGCCACCAGATCTGAAAAACACGTTATAGTTTTAAGGTGGCAGATAAACTGAGATCCCTCCACCCATCATGGAAATGCAACTGTTTGGTTTAACAATGTACATGATTACAAAATAACTGGACAAATGAGAAGCAAATCATACACCCATTCTAACATTATAAATAGTTCTTATATAAATTTAGTTGCTTGTACAGATAACGTAATTCCCCAAACATAAGGCACAGAAATCAAAGGGACACTGCCAGAAGAATTATTTTAACTGTATCCTTTTCATCTTAGATAAGCTGAAATAGCAACAAATTTAACATCTCATTTAAATTCTCATTATTTGGTGAGCTTTGCAGCATGATCGCTGTTGGCTTTTTAATTTTCACTCAGTTGCAACCGCAAAAAGATCTACTTTTATTTTGTCACTTCCTTTAAAAAAAGCACAATACAGAGTGTTTGCATGGCAAGTTTTGGATGAAGATTACAAATGACAGGGCAACACCTACCTTTTATTGCTCACTGAAGAAAGTACCTACCAGAGATAAAACAGTTTGTGTAGCAGGATCTTATTTCAAAATGGAAACGACCTAACTTTTACACGAAGACCTTTTCTGAGGTTATGTGTGTGCATTTATTAAGCACTAAGTCAATCGAGAGGGAGACGTGACAGCTGTCAAAGCACAAATACCACTTCACAGAGCACCTGCTGCAAAGTGTTCTCTAGAGCTCTTATGAGTATGTGACCTGATGCAATCCTGCAGAGTTCAGGAAATATCACAAGATGACGGAATAAAGAGCTATGCCATTACTCCTGAGTATTAATTCAAAATTACCTCAGTCAAGCAAATCCTGAGACAGCTTATTCATTTTTACAAATCTACATGTACTCATGAACTCGTGGATGCTACCTTTGAGTGACAGTTAGGAAACTACTGAAAACTAATTATCAAATGATTACTGTCATTTCATTAAAAAAAAGCAGGTCATTGTATATTCTAAACAAAAGCTTTAGGAAACAAGAGATGTTTTTGCATTCATGAAGCTTATAAACCTCAGATTTACTATTAAAAATACTGTAATACTATTGATTTCAAAACCACCACAAATCACCACTTCTTCATAAACAGAAGAGAATTGTTTCCATCTAGTGGCTGAACAGAGTTACAGACACTCAGAGAGCTTTCATGTTTCTTAACTATCCCCATTTATGGACCCAATAGGAAGAACGATACCAGCACCAAGCACTGCACTTCATAATGTAACAGTAATAACCTCATACAGAAAGCCTGACAGCATAGGGATGGTGCAAAACTGTTCTAAACAGAAAATGACAGATGGTTTTTATCACAGCGTTTTAGTGCCATACAAGTATCCTGCTAAATCTCCCTACAGAACCTTGCTTGCTCAAACACCTTTTAAGTTTTGTACCCTACAAATTAGAGATCAGGGTATCTGTCTGAGATACTTCAGGAGTCTTTGCACTTTGGATCCCTGCAAACTTCAGTGATATCCTTTGTCACAAATACACATACAAAGTGCAGTTCTGATATTATCTCCACAGTGGAGAGAATTCACATTGAAAAAGTGACTTAGCATTTAATTGGGCAGGGAATTTAACCCAGCTCCCCTAGACACTAATCTTGTGTATAACCCACCAACCTATCTTCTCCCTGCTGTGTCAAAATGACACTTCAAAACACCGCACCTCCATTTCTCTCCCCATTCTGCTGCTGGACTGTCAACCCTGTGAAATCTGTGAAAACAAACAACAATGAACAATTCTGAGCATGGAAAGAGCACTTTGACAACACACCGCACAATACAGATCAACAATGTTGTTTCACTTGAGCCTCTTGCACCCAAGAGGTGCTTTTGTAAATACATAAAATAAATGGCAGGACCTACCTGTGATTTGTGTTGTCATGGAAATGAGCAGTGAAAAATTCAAAGCTACCATGGAAATATTAATAGAGTAATTGGTGCCTGGCTGCAAATCAAAACAAACTTCTGGAGCCTGCTTGTGTGTGGTAAGGTTGAAGGTCATTTCATGAAAGAACTCCTTCTGATACCAACGCTGGCCTTGCACATGAAACTGTAACCAAACAATCACAGTATGGAAATTGCAATGTTTTCATGTATCACTTGCATTCAGTCATGTCATCCTCTAAATTAGAAGAAATAGCAGAAAAACACATCATTGCATACAGACTGCCAAAATTGTTGGCACTGGTAATTATTCAAATTCAAATGCTTCCAAGATTTGTCAGTAATCGCAGTCCTTTTTCATCAGCTCTAACAATATCCTAGTTCTTTCACTTCTTCTCCTAGTCTATCCTCTTTTTTATTAGTACTGTTATTCCCCTCAAGTATCGTGACTTCCTGCTAACATACAGGCTTCCAGTATACTTTGTACTATACCCCTATGGTGACACGTTATAAAAGTAAGCTCACATGAACACCTCTCTGGTGGGACCCTGATGATCAAGTCAAATTCAAGTCATTTTGAACTACGTGATTCTTCCCCTCTACTCTGCTCTCGTGAGACCCCACCTTGAGTACTGTGTTCAGATGTGGGACCCCCAACATAAAAAAGACATGGACCTGTTGCAGAGAGTCCAGATGAGAGCCACAAAATTAATCAGAGGGCTGGAGCACCTCCCCTATGAGGACAGGCTGAGAGAGTTGGGGTTGTTCAACCTGGAGAAGAGAAGGCTCCGAGGAGACTTAATAGCAGCCTTCCAGCACCTGAAGGGGGCCTACAGGAGAGATGGGGAGGCACTCGTTATCAGGGAGTGTAGTGATAGGACAAGGAGTACTGGGTATAAGCTAAAAAAGGGTAAATTTAGACTAGACATTAGGAAGAAATTTTTCACTATGAGGGTGGTGAGGCACTGGAACAGGTTGCCCAGGGAAGTTGTGGATGCCCCATCCCTGGAGGTGTTCAAGACTAGGCTGGATGAGGCTTTGAGCAACCTGGTCTAGTGGAGGGTGTCCCTGCCCATGGCAGGGGGGTTGGAACTTGATGATCTTTGGGGTCCTGTCCAACCTAAACCATTCTACGATTCTATGCCAAAATTCCAAGCACCCTCCAGGATCTGCCTACAGACGGCTATGTTTCCAGGCAAATTTACAGACCCAAGTAGGTTTTTTTGCTTCAGCTGGATTTTGCATGTGTTTGTTTTATTGCTGATGTCCCAAATGATCCTGAATTTACTAACTTAAGGCCTCTCCTGGTCACTCCTTTGTTAATGACAACTAAAATGCTCCTTGCATTTTAATCATGCGCTAATTTTCCTTTAAATAGACCCTGTGCCTTGAGATGATCTCTGAGCACCTCTTAGCACATGGAGATTCGAGTCAACAGCAGGTGGTTGAGAGTCCTGGCAGAGATAGTTCATGTAGAAATGCTCTGCTGGGACACAGAATATTGAAGGCCTATCACAAGGCAGACTGGACTGACTCTGCAGAATTGAACAGAGTTGTCTAAGGCTTGAATATGACCAGGTTGAAAGTATAGATGGGGAAGGCAAAACAGAACAGAAGAGGGGAAAAAGCAAGAAGCAGGAGACTACAAAAGAGCATGGTGGTTTCTTTCTTTTAGAAGGTTGCTAAGCAAGGTTACACCCTTGGTTTTTATGAGAGACATTAGAATGAGGAACGCTGCCAGCAGTGAGTGTTTGAAAAACGACAGATTTTTTCACACAGGTGATTGATATAAATTGTTTTCTAGATTCAAAATACAGATTGTCACTTACTGAGTATGTGTCTTTCACATCAGTTCCCCTGACATTTCTTTGCCATTTCAAGCAGGTATCATTAAAAATTAATACATTATTGAAAGCTTCCTTTACTGTAGAGAGAATAAAAAAGGGAACAACTTATTACAAAAACTTCACCTTCTTCAACTTCATTTGAGTAACTGAAAACTAAAAAAAAAAAAGTTTTTTATTTTAATTCTCTTCTGGGAAGGAGGTACAATCTCATTTCTTTTTGAATTAACACAGTACATAAAGCATGAATATTTTCCAGAGAAAATGGCTTTTGGAAAAACCCAAGCACACTATTCAGGAAGTCAAGATAGGATTTACTTGTCCAGACCTAGAAAGGTTATAATGACAGAAAGATCCAGGGGTTCAGACTTTCTGATGGAAATAAAGTTACAAAGAACAGCTCGTCACAGTTGATGCCCTTTAGGAAAAAGCAAATGAGAAAAACCATTTTTGTGCATTCAAAATGCAGTTATTTCTTAAGGTCTGTCTCATCAGAATTATGTATGTCAGAAGGCAAGGTTAAAGTTTCCATGACCCAAATACTACAGAAACCTGCTGTTACAACATGCCTTCTCTACAATTACTGAAAAACTGCCAGAACACTGCTCATCACTGCTAAACATAGAAACATTATCTGTAATGCTCACATCACTTAGATAAGTATCACACAGCTCAGCAACACAGAATTCTCCCACAGGCAGAGAATCAGTTTTCACGGCAAGGAATGGAAACCAGTAAGCACTGTACCATGGACTGAAATTCCAGCATGCAGCCAGGAATGCCACTGCACCAGTCCTGCCTCAGTCAGAAGACAAATCCCAAAGAAGCAAACTTGACAAATCTTTCTGAAGGGCAGTTAGCTGCCACTGGTCTGTTTGCTCATAGATTCAATGGCCACAGTGAGCAGATACAAAAATGTCTTGCAGGAAAAGAGGATGCTGATGGTGGCTACATGTGTATAGTCAGCATAAAGAATGATATAGCCTAGGAGACAGCCTGTTATCCTGTCTGATAGACTCAAAACTGTGAACTCTGCAGCACATTAAGTTCTTCTATAAGCACAGAGAATACAAAACACAACCTACCCTTTGCCTGAACTGCTACTGTAACCGAGACAGTGATGTTTGTGGAAGAGGTGGTACTAATATTCACAATGTAGTTACTGCCAGAGTTGAGATCTAAACAAACCTTTGGATTATCTTCACTTGTAGTGATGTTAAATATCTCAACTTCTGAGAATGTCTTCTCATCCCATCTTTGGCCCAATATGTGAAACTATGGAAGGTTTAACAAAAATGATGGTACAATTAGTTGTGGCTCTCCAAAATTCAGAATATTAGTTCAATTAAGTCTTGAGAACCTAGGATTACATCTGATTTAGAATATCAAATCAATCAAAAAATAGGCTTGTGACTAACTGTTCTGGTGCAACAAGATGGCTTAATAAATTAGATCTTTAATTTCTTCTGTTAAGATTATGAATATATTTTCATATATTTCTACAACAAATAGAAGGAATCTATAACGTGGACCTTACAACACCTCCAACATGAACAGTAACGTGTAAGTAAATATTCTCTCTTGTTTACAGCACACAGACGGAAACTACATCTGCTTGCTACTTTCTTTTCTTTTTTCTAGTCTTCCCCCCTTGCCCTGCAGAAGCAGTTGTAAGACTGAATGCCAAAAAACAGTAAAAGATAAGTTTCCCTAAGATCATCCTCGTGCAGTGAAAAATAAACCTATTGCTTGTATGAGATGAAGGGACAGACAAAACGTACCTAGCTGAGCTCGAGGCAGTCCAGACTGTGTTCTGAACTTTACTGCATGTACCCTATGCCTACACCATCCTCAGCTTTGACTATTCTGAAGTGTCTTGCAGAAAGGTGAATTCAGGCAAAAGCACATGCACAGAGCACAATACACCAGAGATCCACACTTGCCAGTTTCCACTGGATACATGAAAAGCACTAGTTTTGAACTGTTAGGGTAATTGGGAAGTTGTTTTTCCCATCTCAGCAGTACTCAATAAAAGCACTCGATCTAAAAATACATTGGTTTATAACACAGGAGGAGAAAGACAGGTTGTTTTTGAAAATTATCATCCAACCTTGCAATGTATTTTCCACATTAATCTACCCACCCTGAAGATCCTAAATAATCCCCTTTTATTTTTTTCCCCTATTTGCCGATGTTCAGAAAAAAACAGCCTTTCTTGAGACGTTGCTATTCTCAAAACATGGGAGTTCTTATCATGTTGTTTTGGTTTTCAGTAACACTGACTGAATTATTTGTTTATGAGAATTGATATCTTTTATTGTTGTATTTACAGATGGCAAAAAAAGTAGATACCAAGGTTGCTTCCAATTCCCGTAAGAAACAGTTCTAAAATGTTCAAATAGAAGATGGTTGAATTTCTTGAGCAAGACACAGTATTTCAATATACCTTGCATTTTTTAAAACAAGTTACATCCAGTATCTACAAGCAATACACTGCTTACTTGAAATGTTTGCATTACAGATAGGGACAAAGCCCAAGTTTTGCAGTGTTTTCGGTGTCAGTGTGACCTTGAGCTCTGCAACAGAGTTTCACTAAAATATAAAGTTGTGCTGAAACACTTGTTACAGTTTCAACACTTGTTACAGTTTCAAGCAGATGCTCAGGTGATTTACTGGAATCGGACCCCAGCAGCTTTTGAGTTTTTCACCTAACTTCAGGACAGGGATTTTTTTCTTTCCTAAACCAGCCATCTTTGGGTTTCCAGGCAGTTCACCAGAAGAGAGAGACAAATTACCATACAAAAAAACCCCACAAAACAAATCTCCACTGCTGACTCACCAGAATTAACCAGGACAAAGCTACTCCCAGTCTCAAATACTGCCCCACTTACTGTGTATGTTTCCTGCACTCCCAGTCTTCCAGTTTTCCTTTGCCACTTCACACATGTTTCATTGAATATGGACAAATTACGGAATAATTCCTCCTCTGTGAGAAAGGATGATCAGAAAATGAAAACATTTATTCTTTCTTATGCAAATCTTACTATTTTTACAGCAATTGTTTATTTCTTCCTTTTTTCTCTGAGGGTTTTTTGTTTGTTTGTTTGTTTTTTTCCCCAACAGGAAAAATAAAACAAGGTAGGCAGAAGTAAGGTAGTAAGTATACCCTTAACTGTCTGGGCTCCCAAAAGTAAAATACAAGACTAACTGAATAAGCATGTTCTGAGCTAATGACACACAGCCAGCATTACATATGCTACCATAACTAATGAAAACAAAATACTTTGCTAGGCTTGCACTTTAACATAGAACAAACTCAATTCTAATGACTTTACAGATCTTGAAGAGGAAATTGAAATTACATTACTGTTTCCTCACAGCAAAGGAATAAGCTCTAACTCCATCAGACCACTGGTATGTTCCAGTATATAAAAGCATACCTATACAACAGCATTGTTTCTTACACAAGGATCTTCAGTATATACTGTACTAAAGACCACAATCTTTCATACCGGCTGACCAATCCAGGCAAAAGAGACAATGAGAAAAGGTATTTTGCTCTGTTTCAGACATTCCTCCAAGTCATAATACATTAAACTTGTACCATGTATAGGTAATTCCTGTATTCCTGCTTGAAGTCTTTCATTAAAGTATGTTTGTAGACAGTATTACACCTCCAAAAATGAACAGCAATAAACAATGCCCCAATTCCACTACTTCTGACATGGGTTCTATATTCTCCTTGAACTTAGGTGCCAGCATCTGGATCTTGTGACATGCAATGGTCTGTGTTCTAAAGAATAAACCACTCACAAACCACCTTGGAGACTTTGTAGACCATTGGATCTCATGGATTAGGAGTCTCATGAAACTGCAAATAAAAAAGTCAAGCATATTTAAAAGAGCTGTCTGTATGAAAAAGAGGCTACCAACAAGCCAAGAAACTTAGAAAAAAAAGCGCTTCTGAAAACAACAACCTGGATGAAAGCATTTCAAGAAAGCTCTGTGTTAGATTGGAGGAGAAGTTTTTTGCACCTGAATGAATGCTTTGGTTCATTATCTGTTTCAGTTGCTTTTTTAAAGGTTTTGACATATCTCCTTGTTTTATAATATATAAATAACACACTCACATTAAAACACTTTTCACAGCAAACACTAGATCAAAAGAATGAAGCCCATAGAACTAATCACGTAAAAGGTTGCAGCAACCACAGTATATCCCTCAACACACCTCTGTTAATTTACATACTTTTAAGAGCTGGCTTACGCCTTAGAGAAAAAGCATAGCCAGGAAGATCAGCTTATCTGTTCTTTTTTTAGGCAGTTCTCTCACTTTGTCATCAGACACAGAGCAACTGCCTTCACATGACAAGATAATCAAGTATCCTCTCAGAACTAAGAACAAAGTTCCTGGTCACAACTCAGATTGACAGTGAACATACTTGCTCCTTTCCTTCACCAGACTTCAAACAGTCATTCCTTTGTCCTATTACCATATTTTCAACACTGTTGAAAGCTTCCTTTTCTACAGAACAGAAGAATAAAGAGATTAATCTGCATATCCTCTAAAACAAATTTCCTTACAAATGGCTGTGTGATTAATTGCATTTAAGTGCTGCTTTTTATTATTGATAAATGTTTCACAGTAAGGTTTAGAAACTCCACACTATTAAGATTTCTGTACCAACACAGAGCAAAAGAGTATACTCAGTTGTTGCAGTCTTTAAATCAGATACATTTTTATTAAAAGACCGTATGGCAAAAATGACTCATTAGAGCACAGCCAGAGTGACAGTGTTTGCATATCTATGAGATCTGAATTAAAATGCATAACAAGAAATTTAAAAAAAATCTCCAAAACTGCTCAGCAAGAAAATCAGGCACCTGATTTCTGAGTTTATAAAATACTCAGTTAAAAAATAAAGCAAAATAAAGCAGCAAACAACAAAAAAATGACTATGCCAGGTATCCTGGCTAGGAAAGAAATCTTACACACTGGACTCCTTGGAAGGAAGAAGGCAGAATTAGTAACATTTTTTCCTGTAACTACAACAATTTCTATGTCCTGCTTTCTGAACTTTCAGAAAGACACGGCCACCAGGCAATTACCATACATACACAGAATAGCTGTCCGACCTTTTCACAAGTTTCCCCGTTAAAATAGGGAGGAGTGAAAGAGGACAACAACCTGTAACATGCACAGAGTGAACACCACAACAAAGTCCTGGGCTTTCTGGGGAGACAGACTGCTTTTCATCACTTACTCTTACTAACCACACACTCTTTGTTTGCATAACCAAATGTACAGTAAGCGCTTGTTTTAACATTAAGCCCAGTAGCAAAAACACTGTATCCAATTAACCCCAGTAGCATAAACACTGTATCCAATCACAGCACAAAGGTATCTCTGAAAAAACTATCCTCACACCTAGAGGGAAATAGGTTCCCTGACAGATCAGTTCTCCTGTGAAATCACAGAATCACAGAATGTTAGAG